GTGAGGGCAACCTCCGACCACCGCGCCCGCCGCGTCGCCTCATGGGTAGGGGCCGTGGCCAGAAGCTCTCGCTTCATGGCCTTGAGGCTCCGGCGAGAAGCGTGAGCGCACGCTCCCCCATCGACGGTGGCGACGGTGGCCTCAGGCTCCTGGAACCCTAGGTCATCGTCGCCATCGTCGATGTCCTCGGCGGTGGCCTTCTGCTTGGCCTCACCTCGCCGGTTGCCGGCGGGAGCCGCCGGGGTCTTGCCCTCACGGCGCTCCTGCCTCTTCTCCTCCTCCCACTTCCTCGTCCGCTCAGCCAAACTTTTGACCGCGCGGCAGTCCGCGAGGTCGTGGAGGGAGGTGTTGTGCACGGTACACCACTTGCCGGTCGGGCGCTCCCTGCTGGGAGCGCCGGCCTCCTTCTTTTTGTCGCTCGCAGGCCTCCCCTTTCGGGGGGCCCGCGAATCGCCCTCGACGGCGAGGACGTGACCCTCGTCGTCGGAACGGGCCGACCCCTTCTTCCTCCTCCTGTCCCGCCGCCCTGACCGAGCGGCGGACCCGGGGGCGGCCGGAGCTGCCACACCAGAAACGGAGGAGTTCCAGGTCCAGGCCTCCTCCTTGCGAGCCACACGGTCCGCGAGCTCAAAAAGCTGCGCGGTGGTCTGGGGCTCCTTGGAGGCGATCTTCTCGAGCATGCGGTTGTGCCGCATGCCCCCCCTGAACGCGTAGATCACCGCGTGTGCGGGGATGCACGGTATGGTGTTGCGGACTTGACAGAACCGCTGAATGTACGAGCGAAGAGACTCATCGTCCCTTCGCTGTACCGCATGCAAGTCCGCTTCTTCGCCTGGGCGCGGATATATGCCCTGGAAGTTCGTGGTGAACTGCTGGCACAAATCCTCCCAAGAGTGGACCGACGCGGGTGGCAAGTTCATTAGCCAATCCCGCGCCGACCCTTCAGGGCCATGGGGAAGAAATTCGCCATGACCCTGTCGTCACCCCCGGCGGCCTCGATCCCGGTCATGTAGATCTGGAGAAACTCGGCGGGGTTGACGCTTCCGTCGTATTTTTCGGTGATGGTGGGCCGGAACCTTGGGGGCCAACGGACGTTCCGAAGGCTCGCCACAAAGGTTCGACAGCCGGCACCGCCAACCGGGGACACGGGGGGCTGGCCCCCGTGCCCGGACCGAAGTGGCGCTCCGGACGAGGAAGCGCCCTCCGTTGCGTGGGCGGCGTGACGAGCGTCGCGCCGGCGCTCGATATCGAGGCGGGCATCCGGCCCCCCACTCACATCTTCTTGGGTTGGAGGCGTTGACGAGGGAATGGCGGACGAACGGCGGGCAACGGCCACCGCTCGCCGCGCCCTCCGCCTCGACGACTTGGAGCCGGCGGCGGCAGCGCCAGAGGCCTCGGTGGCGGAGGACCGCCCGCCGGCGCCTAGTCGCTGCTGCGCCGTCATGACCAATTCGGCCACGTCATCCAGCCAACGTCGGGCTGGAGTCTTTGGATCGGGGACGACGGGCGGGTGACGCAGGAGCGCGCCCGCAGCCTGGAGCGCGCCCTGGGGCGTGCCGCCATCGCAGTAGACGAGGCAGCGACGCGCCCCGCCTCGCCGTCCTCCCCCGTCGCCCGCGGGCGGCGAAGTCGCGGATCCTCCAACCTCCCTGAGCGCCTCCCCCCGCCCAAGATTTCGGCGAGAGGGGGACGGTGGGGTGCGAGCCCGACGGCGCGGGTTCTGCTCCCCATCGTCACCGCTAGCGTTCGGAGAGAGGCTGTGCGCCACTGCCCGTTCGGCCATTGGGCTGAGCGGGCGAAGCTTGGCGCACACGAAAGAGGACGAGGGCTTAGAAAGACACGCGCGCCCCCTACCTGGCGCGCCAGATGACGGAGCGTGGGGCTCCTCACCGGGAGACCGCGCAGGCCCCCCTTTGCCGGTTCGGCCGGGGGCGCTAAGTGAGGTTCTTCGCCCTCGATCTGAGGAACGTCAGCGAGAGAAGAAATGCGCGAGACACGGGCGACGTAGACAGGTTCGGGCCGCTGAGAAGCGTAACACCCTACTCCTGTGTTCTGGTGGATCTGTGAGTGAAGGAATACAGAGAGCCGGAGAGCGAGAGAGAGTTCAGGCTCTAGCCCCGTTCGTCCCCTCTCTTCTCCTCTTTTTTTTCTCTCTCCTTTCTTTCTAGGCCTGGGCCTCCTTTTTCTCTGGTCAGGGGTCACCACAAGGGCCTCTCGCCACCTAAGAAAGGAAACATGCTTTTACAATGAGGGCTAGTCTACAGCCAGAAGTGACCTCTGACAAGCAGAGCGCACGTTTCCTGCTCTGCTCGCCCCTTTTTCGGTGGACGCCCATTTCAACCTTCATTTAATGGCCAGCGACTTCCTTGCCATACTTGCGCTGAAGCCTGGAATGGATCTGACCGGGACTGACATACCAACTCCAGGAGTTAGCACGCCGGCTCCGGCTAGGGACGAGAGCCAGGAAGCTCTCATCATTCCGACGGGACGGGGCGAGGTGTGTGACAGGCCGCCTGTTGCCACCTAACCCGCGATCTGACCGGTCTGTGACCGGTCACACACCGCGACTGGTCACGGACCGGATAAGCGTGCGCTGCGCTGCATTAAATGCGGCGTGGCGCGCTCGTCCAACCTGCTATAAATGCGGTTAGGTGAGCCCGCTGTGCTCACCTAACCCACACACGTGGCGCCAAAACCACAGGGGTCGGGGCGCCCCAGCCCTCGGGGCCGAAACGGGAGCGGCCCGACCCCTCGGGGAGACAGAGGGAGGGGTGGCCACGTCACCGTCGGGCCCGACCCCCCCCCCCCCGAGGGGGTCAGGCCACGTGGGTGACCGCGGCTACCGAAGCCTCTAGTCACGATACCCCCGGCCCCATGTCACCGACAGTATGGATGCATGCATCAATCTCCATTTGCTCCAATGCACAAATAACAAATAGACTTTAATAAATGCATACAAATATGTAGATCATTTAGAAATAACCTAAAAAAACTATATGTAGATCAATTTGAAATGGAGGAAGTATATGTTATGGGAACCAACCAAACAGTCTCGACATGGAGTCTTGTTATGGTGGTGCCTATACTATTAGACTAGCTAGCTACCCTGTGTTTATTTTGTGGGTTTAGCGGAAAACTCATAGAAATATTAATTATTGTGACGAGTTGGATGAAGATTAAGATTTTCGTGGCACGCTTTTCAAACTGCTAAACGGTGTGTTTCGTGCGAAAACTTTGTATATGAAAGTTGCTCTAAAATATCATATTAATATATTTTTCAAGTTTGTAATAATTAAAACTCAATCAATCATATGTTGATACCATATCGTTTTGTGTAAAAAACTTAATCTCTTCTTCAATTCCTTCCCATAGAGCATGGTGAAGCGCCATAGCCTGCTGCTGCATTCGTTGCCGTTCCAAGAGCTCCTAGCTGCGCCAGTAGCCCAGTACTCATCATGGACGATGCTGAACACTAGTACAGACCTGTCGATCGGTTCGTAATAGGATTTGCTCTTGGTTTTAATTTAGAACCTGTGGGAGGCATACGACAATGATGCCCCGGGACATTTACTATCGGTTTTAAATCGGTGGTGCTAGCTAGGCATCACTGCTGGTTTAGGCTGTGCTTAGTTCTTGTGCCAAATTTTTTTTAAGTATACGGACACATATTTAAAGTATTAAACGTAAACTAATAACAAAATAAATTACAGATTCCGTCGGTAAACTACGAGACAAATCTATTAAGTCTAATTAATCCGTCATTAGCAAATGTTTACTGTAGCACCACATTGTCAAATCATGACGTAATTATGCTCAAAAGATTCGTCTCGCGATTTACATGCAAACTATATAATTGGTTTTTTTTCCGTCCACATTTAATGCTCTATGCATGTCTCCAAACATTTAATGTGACAGAAAAGTTATAAGTTTGAAGAAAAAAAATTAAATCTAAACACGGCCTAAATAGACAACTCTAAGAAGTAGTGATGCGCATTTCTCTCCTATTAAAACAAATACTACAATCAACTTACAATTTTACACAATTGATGTAGTTGAGTTGCAAAATAACTTGGCCATGGTTTCATGGAACATACTTATGTACAATTCGTGTAAAGAAAAAAAACTTATGTACAATTGGTCATGTTAATTTCCAAACTCTAGAATGGACAATGCCACAATGGAAGGACTGGACATGCAAAAAAGCAGCTGCAGGATGCATGGTAGCAGGGGCGGACCTACACTGGGACATGGGGGTACAGCTGTACCCCCAAAATTTTTGGTAACAAAAAAGATAATATATACTATGTATACAGATCATTAGGCCAAAATATTTGTAGGCTTTGAAAAAAGCAATACAACCATCCGTCCAATGGTATTTTCTTCTTCTAGATAATAGAGATAATTGGGTATCATTCAATGGTATTTTCTTCCTCTAGATTGGATCCAATCTTTATGGGTGGTGCAGCCATATAATCGCTACAATCGCAACGGTTAGTTGTGTCTTCTGTACTATTTTTTTCGTTCATTGTTCACTACAAATCATTCACAACAAGTTATGTATAAAGATTGAGATATACTTTGTTTATATATGCATGCCTGCGCTTCGATTGAGTGTTCATTAGTGGTTTGAGTATATTTTCATCGTCGAACTGTTTCCTTGGTACTATGTACACAGTCCGTAGTCTGTAACTTCGTACCCCCATTGTTGAAATCCTGCGTCCGCCACTGCATGGTAGCCTCAGACGGCGGGTGCACCTCCTGGAACACCGGCGCCGAACAGACGGGCGTGGTTCCTGCGCGACGTGGGGGCTCGTATATATGGTGACAATAGCGGCCATCGACAGTGTCCATGTTGAGCACACTAAAGGGGGTAATAACCCAACATCTTAACCTCCCTGTGGCCTGTGGGGTGGATGGCTTGGCTGATGAAGGGGGTAAAAGCGTAAGTTATTAAAGCGCACAGCATAACGGGCTCGGCGTTTGATTTCTTGCCGAGCCGAGCTCCAAACAAGCTTGAAACGAGCCGAACTAGCTTGCGTCTCGAGCCTTTTGGACAGCTCTGTCCGGCGGGCGATGATATAAGGACAAACAGCGCTCTACATGCCGATACTCCGTCCCATTCTTCCGCAAGTCCAACAAGTCAAGATGTCCTCATCAGCGCCAACAGGTAGGCCAGCTGTTCTTTTTTTTTTCCCTCCCATTTACTGTTGAATTAAGGCCAAAAGATCCTACTGTGGCGCTGCTAGTTTTGAATCTGCACTCATCTACAACTTAACTGTTCTTTCATTCATTCGATCTCTTGCAAGAGAAGTTAGTTACAAATCTTGCACTCCTATCCTTTGCAACTAGCGCTTTGTTCTTAATTTCATTGATCCTCTTGCAAGAAAAGAAAATGGTTTTTTTAAAAAAAAATAAAAAATTTGCTTGTGGTTAACGTACCGCTTCTTTTTGCTCTTGTGTTGCTTACCAAGGTGATTCGCCGCCGTCGCGGACGCCGGAACAGCGCGTGTACGACGAACACCGCGTTTCGGTAGTCCAGGTGACGTGCGTGCTGGTTACCAAAGAAGGCAGGAAACTTGGCGTGGGAACTGGCTTTGTTGTTCACAACGATGGAGCGTCGTGCTTGGTATTAACCTGTGCCCACGTAATCGATCCTAAGCGGAGTAAGCTATGTTCTTTTTCCCTCTTTCCCAACTCCCTTCACTCGTTTTTCACGTACACATTTTTCAAACTGTCAAACGATGTATTTTTTTAAAAGTTTTCTATATGAAAGTTGTTTTAAAAAATTATATTAATCCATTTTTCAAGTTTTTTTTAGCTAATACTTAATTAATCTCACTAAATCGTGTGCTTTGTTCTCCGTGTCAGGAGGAACACAGCCTAAGGAACTGTCCGTTCGGTTTGGTGCGGATCATATCGCCTCTGCTCGATTGGTGCACGTCTCAGAACACGTTGATCTTGCTCTGATCCGTGTCCAAGGGGCGCCTAACTGCATTCCTCTGGGATTCTCCGATGAGGCTGATTTGTCTGGGAAGGAGGTTGTCGCGATTGGATTCTTCGGACTTGACGGCACCTCCATGTGTATTGATCCGGGAACATCGCGCGGCCACATACTGTAATTAACGAGAGCCTTTCTTTCACATTTTTCTTTATGAAACTACATATGTATATGTATGTTCAATGCAATAGCTTTGTTAATTACTGTACACGCTGATGCAAACCTACTGCTCCTAGTAGGTAACTAATGCTGTTTGACGCTGTCTGTTTCACAACATGCATGTGCAGGGGCGAAGCAGTGGTCTTTCCAACAGATTCTGATGATCTAAATGAATTCTCCCCTACCAATTTGCCGACGGCGAAAGGCATGTCAGGCGCACCGGTCCTCCTGGAGGATAAGGTGGCCGGCGTCCTATGCAATAGTGATGCTGCGGTTATCAATGTTATCTAAATAGTTATGAAAAAATTTTAAAAAAATTGACATGATAGGTTAGTATGTATCACTTCACAAGCATGCAAGTTCAAATTCAACTTCTACAAATTGTAACAAAAATAACAAATTTGACTGTAAATATACATATACTAGTTAGAGTTTAATTTGTTATTTTTGTTACAACTTATAGAAGTCGAACTTGAACTTACATGTTTGTGAAGTAATATATTACGTATTAATCTATCTTGTAAATTTTTTTAAAATTTTTTCATAATTATTTAAGTGGAATGCAAGAAAAGAGAGATTAGAATCCATCCTCTGAGAGTGAGACAGAGATTTGTCGACCACCATTGCTTCAAGAACCACCAATCCGGCAATCTCTGATTCCGTTCATCCTTCGTTCCAGCTTGGTATGATCCAGGACGGCGTCTCGCCGCAGAGGGCCATCTCCAGCTTGTTGAGGCAGCAGGCGAGCTTCTTGAAGCTCCGGTTCTCCAGGCTGAACACCGACTGTACTTCATCGTGGTGGAATGCCGATCGTTCACCTCCTTGGTGGTCACCGAGTAGATGGTGTTGCCCTCGAGGTTCTCGAATCCCGCGGTCTCCATGGCAAATCCGTGCAGGAATCGACAAACAGGGCGCGGCCGCCGATGCCGGTGAGCTCCTGTCAGGCCAAGTCAAAGCTGTCCGGAAGCCTTGGAGAAGTCGATGTCGTCGCCGAAGAGGTACATCCTTTGGACTTGATGAGAAGGAAGAGCTCGTCGCCTGCCACCGCGATGCGCGCCTCGGCGGGGAGCTCGACGGCGGGCACCGGGATGACGGCGGCGATGGGGAGGGTGAGGGCGTCGACGATGGTGGTGCAGCAGTAGCAGACGTCGTCCTCGAAGACAAAGAACTCGCCACCGGAGTAGTTGATGCTGCTCGCGTTGCAGTCGGCCATGGCGGCGATAGGGGCCCAGGCGGCGGCGGGCGGGTCGGAGGCGTAGAAGAGGAGTCCCTCGCCGCAGGACGCCATGACGCCATGCGGCGACCAGTCCCAGGCCAGGTCGTCCGTCTCGGCGAAGAAGGCCGGGAGCGGCGGGAGGGCGCGGACGGCTCCGGTGAAGAGGTGGAGGAGCGACGCGGCGAGGTCGGTGGGGTCGATGGCGAGCGTCCACCCGTGCGGGGAGACGTAGAGGATGCAGTGGCGGCAAGGAGCGGCGGTGGAGGAGACGGCGGCGGTGGAGAAGGCGGCAGGCGATGAAGGCGTGATAGGCGTGAGGAGGCGTCGGCGGCGGGGTTCGCGGCTGCCGGCGGCGGGCGACGGGGTAGGCGCGAGGAGGCGTCGGCGCCGGTGGAGAAGGTGGCGGGGCAGGGGAGGGGGAGATGGATCGCTAATTAATTTCTATAACCGTTCACACGGAGTGGGATCGCTAATTTCTGTGTTTGTTCAGCCCGGGTTGGGAACCCAAATCCTCAGAACGAAAACGGAGCGATACATTAATACTTGATTAATTAAATATTAGTAATTATTTTAAAAAATAAATTAATTTGATTTTTTAAACAATTTTCATATAGAAATATTTTTAAAAAATACACCGTTTAACAGTTTAAAAGCGTGCGCGAGAGAGGGGTTGGGAGCTGAAGTTCTAAACACAGCCATAAATTCGTTGGATGAATAAGGGCGGTCCTAACCCTCCATTTAGGATGGTGTCTATGGCATTAACTATATTGCCATGTAGGACTTTTATCTTATGTGGCACTATATTAATTAAGAGAGAGTGAAGAGAGGAAGAAACTGGATCTCATGCAAGACACAGCTTCAACATGAGAACCTATGCACTAGACACTATCAAGTTTTGTATTGGAAAAGAATAGTGACTTTATAATAGATGAAGAATAAATATGAGTTATCCCTGGAAGCGGCGGACCAATAATTTCAAGCCCCTTGGATCAATTTTTCATTGATCCATTATTTGGTCTTGATATGGGTAACTTTTATTTATCATTCACAAATGAATCCTTGTCTATGGCGGTAACTATCATTTTGGTGCCATCTTTATTTGGAGTTGTTACGAAAAAGGGCGGGGAAAGTCAGTGCCAAATGCATGGCAATCCGTGGGTAGAGGAGAGAAATGATGTATTTATTAATAGCCCACTTTAAGAAACCATGGGTTGTAGAGTATAGTTTCTATTGTGATGTCTTATTGATATGGCACCATAGACATTGCTGCTTATGGACACTATGGGTTGAATGCCCTAAATCTGAGGGTTAGGAAAGAGAGGTGTTTAATGAATTCGTACTTTCTATATTAGTAGAGATTATCAAATGTGTAGTGTATTTGTGAAAAATGCATATTTTAAAACATGGTTATCGTGACAACAAATTATGATATAAGTTCGCATTGTTCCTCTCATTCTTTTTGTTGTCTTTAATTTCCAGAAATATATCGATTTGGTTAGGGTAGCTTCCCTGAAAAAAAGAAGAAGAAGAAGTTAGGGTAGCTGCCTCAATTTCCGATTCAAGCCATAGTATATAATTTATATAAAATATTTTTACTTCTTTCTTTCTTGTATTTAATTTTTTTCCTCCTTTTTCGTTTTCCTCATAATTCCTTTTCCTTGTTCACGCACGCAACTGTTGAGGCAGAAATGCTACTGGGCGAGATTCTCCCCCCCCTCTCTCTACTTGGTTTCTTTTTTTTACACCGCATTACTTTCCTATTTTAGTAAATTTATACACCTCAAGTTTACACATCTAAAGTTTAGAGACTAAAAGTTTATAAGTCAAAAGTTTATATATCTGATTCAAATTTGAATTTGAATTCAAATATTTTTCATATATAGTATTTCTATACATCTAAAGTTTATACACCTAAAGTTTATAGACCTAAAGTTTATAGACCTAAAGTTTATATACCCGATTAAAATTTAAATTTGAATTATATCTAATTAAAATTTGAATTTGAATTCAAATGTTTTCTATATATATAGTATTTCTGTACATCTAAAGTTTATACACCTAAAGTTTATAGACCCAAAGTTTATAAGTTAAAAGTTTATATACCTGATTTAAATTTGAATTTGAATTTAATTTTTTTATATATAGTATTTCTATACATAAATTTTTCTAATTTTTTGTTTTTTAAAATTTTTTATGGTATACTGTAGACTATATTAGGAAGAGAAGAAGGGAAGGAGGAAGGGAGGAGAGGAGGAGATGAATTGGCAACGCGTCACTTGCATACATCAACATAGTGAGGGGCACCGAGTGGGCAGGTCCAGGTGAGCGACTGGGCTAGCTAGGCCCAACTAAGTGCTCGGAGCTTTTTTTTTTTTTTTCTCTTTACGCTTGTGTAATGTTGGAGAATTTGGTTACGCTTGTCTAGAGGTTTTCGTTTTCTTTCTCAAGGAACGACCCCTCGAATTCACCAATTCATTCGCAATTGATTAAGCCACGTGGACCAATCAAATTCTGGCACAACGGCCAGCTTGAGATTAGTATACTAGAAAATGAGCGCTCCCGTTGGCGCGCAGGCTAACTTTTAGCCTATAATATTATCGTTTAGATTCGAACTTTTTTCTTTAAATTTTTTAACTTTTTCATCATATCAAATGTTTAGACACATGCATGAAACATTAAATGTGGACGGAAAAAATCAATTACACAGTTTGTATGTAAATCGCGAGACGTATCTTTTGAGCTTAATTGCGTTATGATTTGACAATGTGGTGTTACAGTAAACATTTACTAATAACGAATTAATTAGGTTTAATAGATTCGTCTCGTAGTTTATAGGCGGAATCTGTAATTTGTTTTATTATTAGTTTATGTTTAATACTTCAAATGTATGTCCATATACTTTAAAAATTTTGTCACACGAACTAAACACAGCCTAAGTTACACTCCTTTTTGAATGTGTAAATATTGTTGAGTACCACTTTTATATGTCTGTCGACGTTTGATGTCGCGATTCCGGTATTTGCATAGTATGAGGATCGTTGGTATTAGGATATACGCGAGACTGAGGTAAAAGAGACGGAGACAAGGATTTTTATACAGGTTCGGGCCCCTGAATTATCAGGCAATAACCCTACATCTTGTTGGCCGAAGCCGGTATTGCTCTTATTCACCATAATCACACCAGTACAATATTTGGGGTAGCCTATCTAACTGTTGTTGGCATGGTGATCTGAAGGTCTAACTCGTGGTCGACAACAGGTTAGTCTTCCTCCTCGAATCCGTACCCGGCGAGATCAGAGATAGCGCTTTCGTCTCTCCTGACAGTATCCTAGCCGTGCTTATCCCTGAAGTCGATATCCGGCGTCTTATCTTGGTGTATGTTGGCTTGTATTGGCTTATGGCTTTGTGGCGTCCCCTCTCCTCCTAGGGGGTCTTGTATTTATACCCATAGGTGTCCTCTTGTCCAAGTAGAACTAGGGAAACCAATATGGATACAATCCGAGTAGTTCTTGTCGTTTCCATATAGAACTCTGGTTGTCTTTCCTTATCCGAAACTCCTCCTATATCCGCAGGTTGTTTCCGTATAGGACATGGTATGTGGTGGATACTGCTGAGATTTAGTCAACTACTATTAGGTATGTGGTATCCATAACCCTGACAATGTCTTCTTTCTTTTTGCCACTTCATCAAATTATTACACATATTACTTGGTATATGTTTTTTTTTCAAAATACTTTCCTCTACTGTAATGCCTAGTCGACTTGTTTCATACCACCTGTTAAGTTTATTTTTCACATAATCAGGCAGATAATATGTAGTAATAATTCAGAGGATAATTTAAGTGGGCCTTAAGGATAAAACATTGTATCACTTTTAGTTTGGAATTAATTAATATATTGGGTTAAAACTAACCTAGTGCTAGGAATAAGCCAAGATTTTCTATTGTCCGTGACGATGGAAAAACCTGAGTCTAGGCCCTGTTCTTTTCACTTTTTCTTTAAAAAAATTGCCAATGATTATTTTCTCCATGCTTTTACAAATATCAATATATTCTCCATGCTTATACAAATACAAATTCTCAAAAAACAAATCTTTTATTGTTTTGTTCGTACCTCTTGCTCTAGGTTATTTCTAAATTTTATTTCTCAAATTACTCCATCCTTCCACTTATATATGAAGTTGGTTAGTTCATTTTTAACTAAAAAACATCATATATATAAATAGAAGGAGGGAGTATTAATTTATCTTGTTAATATAGTATATAATCTCCCTCAATAATACGCAAAAAAATCCATTTGAACCAAAACCTTAATTGATCAGCATAGTGTTGTTTTTTAAACAACGCATAGTGATATCTTTAAAATACTATTTATTCGGTTGAGGTTAAGACGTATTCACAGGGATTAAAAACGTAAAAAATGCCTAAGTATGGGGTAGTCACATGAGGTGACATTCCGAGTGTTTCTATAATGCTCATCTCTAATACCGATATCAGGGCTCTATCCCTGGTTAGAGATTGGGCCATGTGGCGTCCTATAAATTAAGCTTCTCATCTCCGAAAATCTGCCATGTGTCTCCTTGCTCTCCGAAAGTTCACTGCGATGGACCAACGAAGCTTGATTTTTTCTGGCAAAAGCGCTCGACCCTTAATCCACCCATCCCTCCTCCCGATGCACGCCTCGCCGCCCACCGGATCCTCCGCCACCCGCGTGCCGCAGCGGACCACCCACTCATGTCCTCCCTCAAGGCGCGGGCTCGTCTTCTTCACCACCACCCGGCCACCTTGCCCTCCCCTGCGCTCCCCGCCGCCATGCTGCTGCCCTTCCTTGACACGCGGGGTTGTCGCCATGTTGCAGGAGTCACCTCAAGCACGCGATAGCCGTCGACGATACAAACTTCGGCAAGATCCATTGAGCCCAATGAAGAGAAGAGTAGCGGTGGTGGCCGTCGACCCGGAGGCCGGATCAGGAGAAGGGAGGGGGCGCTAGCTAGCGGAGGAGAGGAGGCGGCGTGCACGGGTAAGTGGTGGCGTCGCGCCGGATCCTCTGTCACCTGCACGTCGCGGCTATGACGCTGCGGCGAACCACCCGTCGACGGCCCGAGGAGCAGGAGGGATTGCAGGAGGTGGAGGACAGGGAGCGCATCGCAGACTTCTCCTCGCTCATGTTGACGGCGCTACTTCGATCTTTTAGACACAGGCGCCATCGAACTTCCTGCAAAGGATGCCATATACTGTCCGTTGTCGCAGCGGCACCGTGGCGAAGATGGAGACGCTGAGGAGCAAGGAGCAGATTGAGGAATGGAGACTGGAGAGCAGCGGAGTCGTCGACGACTAGGAACGGGGGCTGGGGACTGGGAAGGACAAATATATATATATATATATATATATATATATGACTTTATTTAGCTGCAAGCCTGCAACTGAAGACATCGTACGAACGGCTAGATCAATGTACAGACGGACGGCTCTGATTTTTTGCATGACGTTGCCATCTAAATGAAAAAACAGTGAGTATTACATTCAGATAGTGTGGGGGAGAAAAACTAAAGATCTTATTATATCATTTGATTGTGCTCTCAGTTGACACTTACAGGCTCCCATCGGATGGCCTAATCAGCTAAAGAAAAAACTAAATTTTGAATTTTCAAGCTTAATTTTGAGATATTTTCAACGTAGTTTCTTTTTCAACATTGGCTTTTAAGTCACCAAGAATACATTTATAAAAGTTTTACCTACAAATTTATTTTTATTTTCTAATAAGCCGTTTTGGCTTATTAGGAAATAAGCAAACGATGCGGACCACAGTTCGGCTGCACATACAAGTTGCAATGGGCAGATAAAGCCTCTTTGCAATCATTTATCCAGGATATAATTTTTTTAGGGAGTATCCAGGATATAATTAAGTAGTAGAAGAGAATAAGGAGGTACCAGTATCTTTTGCTTTAGCTTGAGCTCAACGCAATTCCAAATTTTCAAACAAATAATTTATTCCTTACTCTTCTTTATTGTGCAAATAGAATTTTTTAATGTTATGCACTTTTAGAACGTTATGTTTAAAGAATAAGAAGATAAAATTATTTTTTAAAAAAGGATTTTCTTGATTTTTACAGACATGTGGAGGCAGGGGTGAAGCCACACCTGGCTATCGCAGGCGGCCGCGCAAACTCACCGACAAAAACTCCATTAAATTTATATGTTATTGAATGAATTGATGATGAAATTTATATAATAAATACTAGAAGTATAGTTTGCTTGGGCTCAAAAAATCTTTTTAGCTCCGCCAGGAGATAAAATGAAAATACTCCCTCCATCCAAAAGTCTAAGACCTACTCCCTCCATTCCAAAAGGACTCAATTCTTGGGTTTTCGTGCCCAACATTTGACCGTCCGTCTTATATGAAATATTTTTTATGATTACTATTTTTTATTATTGTTAGATGATAAAATATGAATAATACTTTATGCATGACTTATCTTTTTAAAATTTTTCATATTTTTTTTCAAATAAGACGGATGATCAAACGTTAGACACAAAAACCCAGGAATTAAGTTTATTTTGGGATGGAGGAATTATTTCTTTTGGCACCAAGACCAAGGAGTAATTAATTTATTTACAATGTGACAAAACCAATAAGCATGTAACCAATAAGTAATAAAATGGTTTATTGGGTTCCGATCAATAATTTAATTTAAAACATAATGACTATAAATAGGACTTAAACTTTTGGAAAAACCAAAGAATAGAATAAGTTTTAGACTTTTAGAAGAAGGGAGTAAGTAGTTTCATTACTTTGGTTTCGTTGGAATTTGGAATTTGTGCGCATATATTCGACTTCCAACTTATGTCTATGAATTCAATGTCTCGCTGCTTTAAATTAATATATGAATAAAAGGGCATAGTTTCCATAATTTCAGGCATTAAATAGATAAAGAAATTAAGTGTACTTATCATACCATATCATTTACTCCCTCCGTTCCATATTGATTACCATATAACTTTTTCACCAAGACAAAAAAAAGTATTAACTTTCCTATATTTCATTTAATGTGAGTATGTGGTAGGGAAAAATCAAGAAACATGCACACTTTAACTCCTCTTAGGCCCCATACATAAGAGCAGGTCCAATTATAAACACATTTCGATGAGATAAAACAGAAGAGAGAAGAGCAGTGGGCTATAGATTTGTAGCCAGCTGTAGCACAGACTCCAAGATACATGTATGTATGACAGGTGCGACCAAGTATAAATTGTGTAGTGATGTTTATAGGAGTATATGAATTTCCTACTAAATTGACTATAGATGATTTGAAGTCAGTGGTTGACTATACTATTAAACTTGCTCTAAGAAACGATAGCTTTACTACCTCGAATTCCTACATACATGCATGCATACTCAATTTTCATGCTTAAATGCAATAATATTACACGTCAAACGAAGGGGCTATGATAACATGATGATCAATTTAAAAAATTCAATTTGTGTTAAATGATGATCAATATGAAACGGATGGAGTATTTCATAGGCAAAGCCGCGTCTATTTTTTAGTTCTTTCTTTCCCATGGTGCTTCTTTTTTTCAAGACATTTCTCTTTCTCTATATTCTTTTAGATATCTCATCCCAGCCAATTCTGCATTCCTATGAGCACGTACACCAAGCTCGAACTGGGAAAATACTAATGGTTGGTTGATCTGGTAATAGAATAGTTTGGTGTACTTCTGTTTGGTGATGACTTGAGCAGATAAGCAAAGGATACTTGTCCATCCTTCCAAAAATCCACTGCTGCCTGTGCACCTGCTTCGCATGGTTGAGCAAGTTATCTCCAATTCAGAGGTTTGCAAGGCTGCAAGCATAAGAAACTTCTATTTTAACATAAATCAAAATTTAAACATGATAAGAGGTCATCAATAGAACAATAAAGTAATACATCAAGCAATTTTCTGAATAAACTATAGAGCAAAAGTATACCTGCAACTGCAGCTTCTTCATAAAGCAAGGTACTAGTACCACTCCTTCACAGCTTGAGCCAGAAGGGCCCTTGTCAGGTATTCAGATTTCAGGTGTAGTGAATTACTTGCAAGAAACATGGCTGGTCATTATAAAGAGTGTTCATGAATTCTAGGCATGCCATGGCAGGAAACAATAGCCTTCTTGCCATGGACTCCAAGCTCTCCATGCTCTTCTTGTTGCTAGGCTTTGTGGCATGTTCTGCCACTGCTAGTCACCATGATCCTTCCGTTGTCGGATACTCGCAGGAGGATCTTGCATTGCCAAATAAGCTTGTTGGTCTCTTCACATCATGGTCAGTAAAACATAGCAAGATCTATGCAAGCCCAAAGGAGAAGGTCAAGAGGTATGAGATCTTCAAGCGAAACCTGAGGCACATTGTGGAGACGAACAGGAGAAATGGCAGCTATTGGCTCGGCTTAAATCATTTTGCTGACATTGCACATGAAGAATTCAAGGCCAGTTACCTGGGACTGAAGCCAGGGTTAGCAAGAAGGGATGCTCAGCCACATGGTTCAACAACATTCAGGTACGCGAACGCCGTTAACTTGCCCTGGGCAGTGGACTGGAGGAAGAAGGGAGCAGTGACACCGGTCAAGAACCAAGGAGAATGTGGTAAGCTCAATGTCTGAAAAATGCACACTATCTATTTAGCATAGTGATACTGAATCCCTGAAAATGCACACGATCTATTCAGCATATTGAGGCCGAATGCCTGAAAATGCACACAATTTATTTCAGCACGGTGATACTGAATCCCTGCACACAATCAATTTCAGCATATTAATGCTGAATGCCTGAAAATGTGCACAATCTATTTCATCGCATCGATACTCAATGCCTGAAACTGAGAGTGCACACAGTCTGTTTCAGCATATTAATACTAAATCACTATCTGAAATAGTGTATGATATGATGCAATTTGTTCCATGAAAATGCTGTAAGAGAAAACGGTCTCTTGCAGGAAGTTGCTGGGCTTTTTCAACGGTGGCAGCTGTTGAGGGGATAAACCAGATTGTGACCGGCAAGTTGGTATCACTATCAGAGCAGGAACTGATGGACTGCGACAACACCTTCAATCATGGCTGTCGAGGTGGGCTGATGGACTTCGCCTTCGCATACATAATGGGGAACCAGGGGATCTACACAGAGGAAGACTACCCATACCTCATGGAAGAAGGCTACTGCAGAGAAAAGCAGGTAGAAACATGAAAACCACTTCTTCTTCAGAGGCAATTCAGCTGTAAACACATGTAGTGATCTAGCAGGATCTCTAACAGTTGAATTTATCTGCTGTGATGAACTGATGACTGGTGGTTAGCCTCATTCCAAAGTCATCACCATAACCGGCTACGAGGATGTCCCGGCGAACAGCGAGACAAGCCTACTGAAGGCACTGGCTCATCAGCCTGTCAGTGTGGGGATAGCAGCTGGGAGCAGAGACTTTCAGTTCTACAAAGGGGTAAACAAAATTATCAGCTGTTCTTCAATCTTCATTCACCATGATACAGTACAGATCAGCACAAAAACATTAAACTGACAAAATGGGTGTATCTGAATACTGGATGCAGGGGATCTTTGATGGGGAATGTGGCATTCAACCGGATCATGCACTGACGGCCGTGGGCTACGGCTCGTACTACGGCCAGGACTACATCATCATGAAGAACTCGTGGGGCAAGAACTGGGGAGAGCAAGGGTATTTCAGGATCAGGAGGGGCACCGGCAAGCCGGAGGGAGTCTGTGACATATACAAGATTGCTTCTTACCCAACCAAAAACGTCACTGGCTGGGGTTCATAGCTAGTTTTGTAGGCGATCTTGTAATCCATTTGTCTCTGACAAGAAAGAACCGGCCTAAGCAACGCTGTGCAATTCCTGGATGCTTCGGAGTGGAGCTCTTAAGCAGCACAGCAATGGTTTATTATATAATGACAGCTTGGGTTTTTAAGCAAAATGGTCCCATGGTCTAGTGGTCAGGACATTGGACTCTGAATCCAGTAACCCGAGTTCAAATCTCGGTGGGACCTTGATATATTCTTTTATTTTTTTTGCTTCTCAGCAGACATTTCTCGTCTATTCTCTTCCGTATATTTTTCACATTTTATTTTCCCTCTTTTCTCCTCCTCAGGTCAATAAAAAAATTGTCAGCCTATATTTTACACATTTTATTTTCCCTCTTTTCTCCTCCTCAGGTCAATCAAAAAAAATTGTCAGCCACTTTTCACATTTCTCGTCTATTCATTTTCCCAGACATGCTTTTTAAAAATCACATCCAGTTCTTGTTTATAATTTTTATTTAAAAAATCTTATCCACACCACTACTTTTCTCCAGCGTCTGCTACAGTGACGCAATCATGCAATCATTTGCAATGAAATTTTCTGATATGAAAGCCATGATACGTTCCAATTTACTTCCTCCTTTTTTTAAACATATAATACTGTTAATATTTTAAGATAGTTTAAACATTCATCTTATTTAAAACTTGATTTATTATTAAATATTTTTTAAGCATGACAAAAATATCTTAATATTTACATAAAAATTTTAAATAAGACGAATGTCATAAAAGTTAATAACGTCGTATGTTAAAAGACAGTGGCAATGGCCCTGTTTGGATCCAAGGGATATTTTTTAGCCCTCCCTAAAAAATAGTCCAAATAGCCAAAAAGATCCAAAAGGGTGAGCTATTTGGAAATAACCCACTCAAAAAAAATTATTCTACCCAAGGGGTGCTAATTGAGCCTATTTCGGGTGGGGCTCACTGAAAAAACGTCTTTTCTCTCTATCTCTCTCCATAGGAAGATACATAAAAGCAACCCTTGAATCCAAACAACTTAGGGCTATTTTTTTAGAGGGTTATTTTCTTATCTAAAAAATAGCTCTTAAAATAATTCTTGCCTAGTTCTACAAACAGGTTGGTTGTTTATATTTTTTTTTAGAAAAAACATTCCGCGTGGGCCATGGCCCATGAGCCCATGAGAGATAGGCCTTTCGAGTTCCCATCCGACGATCTCCACCCGGACAGGTAGTAAAGCGCGGTCGCCGTCGCCGGCGACCCATACAGCCATACTGTTCCACTCGCCCTCGTTTTCTCCGCCACCGAGCGCATCTCGGCGTCGGCGGCTTGGGGGGAGAGTCAGAGATGCATCTGAGCGAGAACGAGGGGATCGAGGGCGTGCGGTTCGCGGTGACGGGCGGCCAGGGCTTCGTCGGCTCCGCACTGTGCCTCGAGCTGCTCCGCCGCGGCGCCCGGGAGGTCCGCTCCCTCGACCTCCGCGCCTCCTCCCCCTGGTCCGACCAGCTGCTCGGCGCCGGCGTCCGCTTCTTCCAAGGTCCGCCATCTCGAGTTCATCCTCACTACAGTGGTTTTGGCTTTTCCTTCACTGTAACTGACGCGGTCACTGAGTTTTTTCTTAGAAGTAAGACGCACTGGAGCGCTAGCGCTGCGCTGCTTTGCTTGGCTATAGTTCTACCTCCGGATTTGTTGCTAACTAGTGTGAAATTGGAGTAAACTACTGCCTCTGTGCTATTAGCTAGTACATATGTTTTGGCTCTTGGAGTAGTTAGGGAATCTTGAATTTTGTTTTCTCAACACAGTGACAGTAAGTTAGTAACACCAACAATACCCATGATGTACTGCGCATAATTGCCTGGTTAGCTTGTTAACTTGTGTGTCCATTGCAGTCGGCTCTGCATTTCCGATGCACGAATTAAGTTATCAAATACCTGATCGGTGAACCTGTGTTGCAGGGGATGTTAGAAAGAAGGAAGATGTGGGGAAGGCTTTGCGCGGTGTGGACTGTGTTTTCCATCTCGCTTCGTATGGCATGTCAGGGAAGGAAATGGTACAGGCTGGGCGAGCCGACGAGGTCAATATAAATGGTACATGCAATGTGCTGGACGCTTGCCACGAGCATGGTGTTAGAAGGCTCGTGTATGTAAGCACGTATAATGTGGTTTTTGGAGGAGAGCCGATTGTCAATGGGAACGAGGCGCTGCCTTATTTCCCTGTTGAAGACCATGTTGATGCCTATGCGCGTAGCAAATCAATTGCTGAACAGTTGGTGCTGAAGAGTAATGGCCGGCAAACTAAGTAAGTTGAGCCATTTTTGCCATGATTCTTATGTCTGCCTCATTGCCATGTATATCTGCCACTTACATACCCTTCATATAATTTTGCCGGGTCGGCCGATACCCTTCATATAATATCTTCAAATGTGTTGTTTTCACCTATGATGAGCGTATTTTCTACTTTCCATGTGTCAAGATCCACCACCAATTATTTCATTTTGGCTTGGGACTTAAGTTGAACATTGGTAATATACAGGCTGTCTTACTGATTTGATGTTTTTATACAGGAGTGATAAAAGCAGTCGTCTTTATACATGCTCAATACGTCCCGCCGCTATCTATGGTCCAGGTGAAGAGCGGCATCTTCCAAGGATACTATCCCTTGCGAAGTTGGGATTAGCATTCTTCAAGATTGGGGATCCAAATGTGAAGTCAGATTGGGTCTATGTGGATAATCTTGTTCTTGCACTGATATTGGCAAGCATGGGACTTTTAGATGATATTCCTGACAGGAAGGGAATTCCTGTAGCTGCTGGTCAAGCATATTTCATATGTGATGGTAAGTGCAGTTAGCCTGTAGGGCAACTATATTACTGGTTAACCTTTTCTGATACCATGGCACTATGTTCTGAATTTTATTTCCATCTTTTGAATAGGAGTGCAGCCATTTTTATTTTTGTCTTGTCATATTGATAAATCTGAACTGTTGAACACTAGACTACTAAGCTGAATGCTACCATAAAAAAACAGTAGTTTACACTCTTGTGTTCTGCATTGGTGTCTTTGTTGAGGATATCTATTCAAAATGATTTACTGCATAGCTCGTTTTAGCTATTTATTTGTTTTGCTTATTCTGAGGTTGAAACCTTTTTTCTTTTAGAGGGAGTTGAAATTTTTATTGCTTACAGATCATACGTAATGAGTCTACTGGATGCTCTGTTGAATATATTTACATTCAATACTGAACCATTACTCCTTTAGCAACTTGAGCAATTACACTTATATTCCTTACCAGAATTGCTCTTAATGTTTGTTGTTTGTAATTTGAAAGAAATGTTGCATTTTCTTAACAAGAAACTATTGGTTGTTTGCAGGATCGCCTGTCAATACTTTTGAATTTCTCAGTCCTCTATTTCAAAGTTTGGATTACACAGTTCCACGAGTTAGAATGGATACCTCAGTTGCTCTTGCCATCTCAAGATTTTTTGTGTTCATGTATACACTACTCTATCCATGGTTGGATAGTAAATGGATTCCTCAGCCTCTTCTCCTTCCTGCTGAAGTATACAAGGTCGGCTTATTTATCATGTTCCAATGACTTTACCTAATGTAGTCCATTATGGAAATATGCCTTTACACTGTTACTATCTTCTCATGTGACGGCAACTCTGTTGTTAATCATGATGAGTGAGGGGTAATAAGATCTAATTTGTTTGGTAGGAGTTTGAATCTTGTTAAGCGTAATATAGTGCTAAGATGTAATGATGGATGTGCAGTATTGCTTACAGCTATTTTATCCTTTTTTATATATAAATTAATCATTTTCTGTTGATCTTTAGTAATTTCTTGACTAGGCAAGTAGAAATGTAGAATTACATAATTGCAATTCTATTTTTATAGCTGAGTGGGAATAAACATGATGTCAAACCCATAGTCGAAGCTAATGTTGATAGTTCGCTGTGACAGGTGGGTGTTACACACTACTTTTCATATTTGAAAGCTAGAGAGGAAATCGGCTATGTACCTATGGTGAGCCCGCGAGAAGGATTGGCTGCAACTATTTCCTACTGGCAGGAGAGGAAGAGAAAAGAACTAGATGGCCCAACCATATTTCCTTGGCTGTTTGTAACAATTGGCATGCTGGCATTGTTTTCTGCTGCTTACCTTCCACCCGTCGGTCCATTGAAATGGGTGCTTGACCTCCATTTATTTGTTTTCCGATCAAAGTTGGTGATTCGGTTAGTCTTTGTGATAGCAACTGCATTGCACGTTGGTGAAGCTGTTTATGCTTGGTTCTTGGCAAAGAAGTATGACCCGAGGAATGCTACAGGTTGGTTTTGGCAAACATTCATGCTCGGGTTCTTTTCTCTTCGGTATCTGCTTAAGAGAATGAGAGAGTAGATTTGTGCTGTTATTCCCTTCACTTTGTCAGGAAATCTTCAACAGTAATTTCTAGCTGAAATGCCTCAGCATATGCACTTTTAACTGCTGTGGAACTTCATTTTTCTGAGTCATATGTGACTTCTGTCAGTCTTGAGAAGCAGAGTGTGCAGAACCCATGGTCTTCTATGATAGTAGGTATTCAGCCATGGTTTTCGATCTTGCATGAAGCCAAACCACACAGCACATTGTTAGAGTTGCAGCTTGTACCATTAGCTTAGATGGCATTTGTTTTGGGACTGGAGAGAACAATTGAACATAATGGAGTTGTAAGTTGTCATTGTTACAATTGGCATATGTTTGGAGGCTATACCATACTGTACCTCCTATGCTTTGAAACTGAACTATAAATCAATAATTGGAAAGCTGAACAAAAGCCAGCTTCTCTTGCCTGTCAGTTACGTACATATACAGCACAAACCCTGTCTTTTGCCAATGCAGAACTGGAGTACTCTTGGATTGGTCTTTGTTCCTTCTCTGCAGCTATCTACCTACCTCTGAACTGGAAGTCCCAAGAACTACAAGCATATTACAGCCTGATGGCAGAGTGACGACAGGTCAGTTAAACTGCTTCCATGAGAAAAATGAGTTGTTGCAGGCTTGCAGCTGTGTTGTGCCCCTCCACTCGTCTGATTCTTCTACCAACCTCGCAACCAACCTTTGCCCTTCATTTAATAAAAGCCAGTGTCGGCGGCGAGAGGAAGCAACCGAATGAAAAGAAGAAGAATAGGTGAGGTGAGGCCCGAGTGTTATTATCGGAGTTGGACTTGTGAACGACTTGTGAACTGCAGCCGCGCAATCCGTCGATTTGTGTGTGGCTCGCGTGCTTCTTCCAGATCACATTTCAGGTCCCTTCGGTTTGACTGTATGAGATGATTTTTCTGTCGAATGAATTGGCGTATGAGATAATTTTTCTGTCGATTGATTTTTCGGTTTGACTGAATGGGATGATTGCACGTTGCCGCAAGGAATATATGGTGTAAGTAAGGTCAAAGTCCTCTGATCTTGGAAAGAATTGGGCAGAAACATATCGTAGGAACAAAACGTGACACACGCTTGCATTTGTGCTGATGAGAAATGTAGGCATGCAGTTTCAGTTTTTGCATTGTACTGATGAGAATGATGTTTGTGATGGTTGCAATGGCTGGCATGTTTGATTGTTTCCTGCGTAGAAAAGGCAGAGTCCAATTGCTGAAAAGGCCTTGAAAAGTCTAGGTGCAACCGGAAGATGACAAACAGCTTCGGTAGGAAGAGGGAGGGAGCAAATGTTTCATTGGATGATTCCTTCCCCCATGTTCTCATGTGATATATACCCTTTTGCTTTTGGTGACACGGCAGCTGCCTCTCCCGTTTGTTTGAGTATTAGATGCTAACCAAACACAGAACACCCTTTCCTTTCTGAAAATTAGTGATAATCAAAAGGCTCCAGTGAAACTAGCAAGAACAAATGGAAACATTTGCCTCCTTATGAACACTGAACACAGTTAAAAACACCGAGCACAAAGGTATATCACACTGTGACCCTCCAAGAAGAATCAGAGTAGGAAGCTTATGATAAAAACTGCGCAATGGGATAGACAAGGACTGAAAACCTTCAGTTTCAGGTTTTCTAAAAGACAATTTAAGGTATTTCAATGTAGATTATGAAGAGCATCAATGCTGTTTGATAATGTATCCTAGGACACACACTACATCATTGAGTGCTCTTTCACCACATTGGGAAGCTTTGCATCGATTTGGCCAGAATCAACCCAACATATTGCAATTTGCAAGAGAGTCAAATAGATGGGCAGGCAGGCAAGACGCCACAGCCCACATGGTGGATGGAATTCATCATGGATGTCAAAGCCCCAGAGCACCCAGCAAATCGGCAATCCACCCCACACATGGCACGGTGGCAGCGCCACCGCACCGGCAGCTGCCACCCACCCATCATTTCGCCAACACGGCTCCAGTTTATCTGAGCTGCCTAAAAAAAAAAGAAAACAAAAACAAAACAGCCAAAATGTTCAGTTCACATCGCCGGCTTCGGCGCTTCGCCTCTCTGTAAACATGCTCGCAACTGCACAGCACAAAGCTTTCAACTACACACACCTCGTCGTGGCCCCACCCACCCCTCTTGCATGAATAAAACCAGCCTGTCCAGGCCATAGCTGTGAAGACAAACATTGCGCCATCACATTCTCAAGAAGAGGAGAAGGAGAGATCTGGAGAAGAAGAGGTAGGAGGCCATTGCCACCTGACCTTCTCCTCTTCCTCCATTCATCTTCTCTTTCTTGGGACATGGCGACCATCCTGGAGAACATCCAGAAGGCGAGGTTCTTGCCGACAAGGCCGCTCAAGGACGAGCTGCCGACGTTCCAGGGCGGCGGCGGCGGCGGTGGCGGTGGGGGTGGAAAGGAGAGCCACCTGATGGGGCTGAGGAAGAGGCTGTCCTCCTTCTCCGACAAGATCCAGCCCATCTCCTCCGCGTCGGCGGAGTGGGCGTTCCGGCGGTCCAAGTCGGCGCCGTCGCTGGGCGCGTTCGCCGGCGGCCCGCTGAAGCGGTGGTGGGACTGGGGCGTCGGCTGGCTCATGTCCAAGAAGCCCGGGTTCGCCACCGACCTCGAGATGAACGAGGAGGAGGTGGCCGCCCTCGGCCGCGGCAGCAGGGGCAGCTGGGGCCACATCCTCTACAAGATGCGCTCCGGCGTCCGGCGGCTCGTCACCTCGCACTCGCTGCCCACCACGCACAGGGCGGCGGCGGCGGCGTCGGCGTCGGCCCAGTGCAAGCCGGCGGCCACGTTCAACTACACCCAGAGCTTCCACAGCGGGCAAACCGCCATGGCGTACTGAGAGCTTCTCACATGTTCCTCCAGTGAGAAACATGACCTTTTCTTGGTCGCCGTCTCCATGGGATCCAAATGAAGAAGAAGCTCAGGGAGATTGATATAATATATGGTGATGAAGATGCAACTACGATTACATGTAAAATTACACGGTAAATTTGATGAATGATGAAAAAAAAATTGTAGCTCACTACGTGATCTGTTTTTTGTGTAGATCTAGTGTCCTGTAGAGGCCGAATGTATGTTCGTTCTTTCAATTCTTTTTGGAGTTCGTTGGGCGATGTAAATGTCTCCGGTCAAATTCCTTATGCTTTTGCCTCCTGCAGTAAATAAAAAGCTAATGAAATATGGTGCTTGTTTATTTGTTCTTGGGATGATCTTGCAGAGTTTCAGCTCAGATCTGAGTTCTCATTGTAATGAGCTACCATCTTTCTCTTTACCATGATCATTTTAGCATCTTTGAGTAGTTACATGTGTTTGGTGTATGAAGATCAAGAATAGCTGGTGAATCTAACAATTAATCTCACAAAAAAAGGGAGATTACAGGTGAGGTGTCACGACTGAACAGGTAGGCAGGAGGTCGGAATCTGTCACCATGTGTGTTAGTATTACATCATGAAAGTGTCCTCTTGTGAAGCACAAGAAAATTAGTGGTTCGGTGAGAGTGGCACAGTTTTCATTTAGGCGATGCTGTACTTTTTGCTCGTGCATTCCTCCAGCCTTCGATGGAGAAAGGAACGGACTTTGGCCCATAAAAACCAGGCCCAACTGGTTACAAAATTTCCAATCTCCTGGCTTCCAAAATGGATCGTGCACGAAAGCTGGGGCCCAACCCAACCCAACCCAGCCCAAGTCGGGAAATGACACTTCCTTTTTTGTTTTTCTCTTTTCCTTTCACGTTGTTCCATATCCCCCGTTCCGTTCTTTTTTTTTTTTGGAAAAAAAGTTCTTGTCTCTCGCGTCACGTTGCTCGCTGCGTCGCTGTCCCGTTTCGACGGTTTTTTGTCTTGATCGCGGTAGCGGTGTGCCACGTTGGTCCCGTGCTAAACTTTTTTCCGTTTTGCCCCTCACGTTTCCGCGAAATTACGTGCCTTCCTCGCGTCGCTTTCTTTCTTCTTCCTCGTCTCGCCTTTCCCTTTCGTGCAAGACAAAAAAAAAAAAAAAAAACCTTCCCCAACTCACAACAAAACCCCCCCAAACCTCGAGCGCGGAGAGCATCCCACACCACCCGTCCCATCGCAATCCAATCCACGAGCAGCCATGGCGAGAGGAGGAGGAGGAGGGCAGCGAGAGGGCAACGCGCTGAAGACGGCGGTGGTCGTGACCGGCGGCCTCGTCCTCGCCTGGTTCACCATGGAGTCCGCGTTCAAGCCCTTCCTCGACCGCCTCCGCGGCGCGCTCACCCGCAACACCGACCCCGCGCGCGACCCCGACGAGGAGAACTCCGCTGCCCCGGCGGACAGGGCCGTCGAGGAGCCCGCCGCGGCGGCGGCCCCGGTGGAGGAGGGCGAGGGCAAGGGGGTGGAGCTGGAGGAGAAGGGGGAAGGGGCCGCCATGACCGAGTAGAAGAAGAAGAAGAAGGCGACGTGACGTTCCCGACTGGTTCCGCTACTAAAATATGCTGTGAATTATGTTTTGTGCTTCCCAATCTTGTCCTGAATGATGCAAAATTTTCAATTCTAATACCATTATCTGCACCTGTAGTACTCATCTCAGCCTACCTGTGTGCTTGCGTTAGTTTCTAGTGACAATTACTGCTGCTCAGCTAATATGTAGTACTTTTTTGTGGGTGCACTTGTTCCCCTTGAAGCTGCTTGCGTGTGCTATTGATAAGAAAATTTTAGTAGAAAAACAGTGTTTCTCTAGAAGCTGCTGGCTTATGCTATTGCCAACGAAAAGTGTGAACATAGTGGTAATCTAGATTTTGCAGCCCCAGATGCTTCATTCATTATATTGTCTGTCATGCTAGTGTGAAATGATTGTAGAGTATTATGCAATGTTTTAAAAAGCGGTAAGCGGTTTCGTTCGGTTACCCCACCTTGTAGTGCTTATGTAGCATAACTGGCTGCTTATGCGGTATAATCGACCGCTTATGTGTCTTAAGCGGTACAAGGTTGGAGTACCTGTTCCTTGTATACGTAAGCGGCCTTGTAGACATTTTGTTTTTAAAAAAACCCTGGTATTATGTCCTTTCTGAGATTAGCAAGCTGTTATGTGTGCCACCCACTATATGGAGGTGATCATTCATTCTGAGTGTGACAAACACTTTTCCTGATTGAACTAGGCACCTCATCTGGTTTTGTTTCAGAATAGTGTTCTGCTGCCTGTTAGTCCTGTCTGTGTACTTCTGGGGAACTGGGGTGTGTCATGGGTGATGCTGCTCCAGATAAACCTGTATATGTATCTGTATGTAGCCAGCTCAATCCACCGTGTGATTGCTAATTGCATTGGTTTCTGTTTATGTGTGATTGATAGGTGTTTTGCACATGTGCATACCTTTCTTTAGCCCAAGAAGCTTTTTCCTTGTTTTTACTCGTCTCAGAAAATATTCGGATCAGCATAGGGGGTCAGTCTTGTCTCAACAAATGGTTGAGTCATTTGCATCTCTGAATCAGCTATTGTGTATTCAGTGTGATAGCATAAAACAATTGCCCAATGCTAAATATTACTTGTGCAATTCCTGATGCAGTATACATGTGAAATTGAAACATCATATCAGGTAATTTGCATCGTTCCTTTGTAACTTCATGCACAATATGTGGTTCCTCCTCTTACCATATATGAAATTAAAGATAAACTCGTGGTTGTTTCTTCATGCACTTGCCATCTGCAGATTTTATAACAAAGCTGTGAAGTGGAAGTAGCATAATGTAAGCCGATGATTGGTTCCTGAGATATCTCCAGGAGGCCAGATAATTTTTTTTTCCATGTCTCGGATATGACATCAGAACATGATATTTGGTTTTTTAGCATGATTATGTCATAGGTTCATAGTTCCATGCTTGCCACATAGTTCATGCAAATTTGATTATTGGATGTTTGGGGAGCGGAAATGTGCAATTGTTTCTATTAAATATGTGATGATGTTTTTATTAAGTAGAGACTGTTTCTGCATTTGCTCATTGCGACAAATCGATCAGTAGATACACTAGACACATAAAGGTTGAAGTAACACTATTATTTATAAAAGAATAAATGACCTTCAGAGATCTTTCTATGATAAATCTTGGCTGTTTTGGATACGACATCGAACCACAAGTAACATTATGTTGGTACCATGATTAATCATACTTCACAATGCATAGTATTGGCTGCTCTCAGATGAATCCAAGTTATTAAAGTTTTGATGAAGTAGTTGTGCTTTCTGCATTTATTCTGCTATATATGCAATGAAGGGTAATTGGTGCTGACATGGATTTCTTTGACTACAGTGGCGTCATTGTAAAAAGAACTAAATAAACCCCAGTTTCGTTACCTGATTGAGCAACAGTATTTTGACTCAAGTTGATATGTAAGCTTTCTACTAAATGTCCCAACTGTAGAATTATACAATATTTAGCAGTTAAACTGATGGTTTTCTATTAGCTGTTGCAGACGTGTTTGGTCCTTTGTGCAGAGAGTGGAACTCTTATACCAACTTAGAAAGGTTTTTGGTTTTTCTTTATGTGGATATAGGAGATAGATTGTCTGTGTTTGCCTCTTTTGTTTTACTAAGTTTACTGATTTACTAATTGTCTTTGAACTGTTATACAAGTAACTGAATATTAGCGATTATAATGTTTGACATTGTAATGGGAAGTAATTGTTGCTACATTATAAGATATATTACCTTAATGACTTATTTGATTTTCTCCACGCCCAATGATCGCATCTACACTTGTTCTTGTATTTATCACCGTTGGTAGCCTACGTGTAATCTGTGCACTTTGTGAAAAATGGCAAAAACTTTTGAAACATTCCACCCGGATACCTTTAAAATTTGTACTTGTCGAACGAGAAAGCATACCGATGTATGTCTGTTCTTATGCTGATAATGCATTGTTCGTCTTATTTTGTTCATTTATTCTGTTTTTGCCTTTGCATGACCATGACGGATGGAAGTTTCGAAAGTTCAGGTGATCCTTCATCAGTCCCAGAATTTTAGTATCATGTATACGCTAGTTTTGGATTAGTGCAGTGTTCGATATATTAATTTCAAGCAATCAGCACTCTACAAGGGTAGAATATGCTTCTTCGTTAGGTTGCCATACCTTCGTTAGTGTCATTCATGGTCGATCTCCAATATCTCTATAAGGTTTTGTGCTGTTACTTTTGAGAGATGGGGTCTGCTAAAATGTGCACTGTGCAGTAGTACCAAAGGTCCAAAACACACAAAGGTCACAGAGAACAAGAGAAGTTGTGCTGGCTCCAAAACGTTCGAAACGTTCGGATAGAAGGTTGTGAACTTCTTCCCTACGCACGTAAAATAGGATAATTAACTCATTAGCACATTATTAATTAAATGCTATTATAACTTAATAGTGGATTAATATGACTTTTTAAAACAATAACTTTCCTATATTTTTTCTAGTAAAAAGCACACCGTACTGTTTGAGAAGCATGTGCTTAAGAAAAACAAGGGAGTAGAAGTTGACAACATATAGTTCCGAAGACACCCTTAGCCTTGGCAAAAAGGCTGTATTTTTACAACTAAGCCCTTATAAAAAAATATAAAAAAAAGATAGCACGGTGCCTAGGACCCTATTGCCCGAAAACGTCTTGGCACCTAAATCGTGGCCGCAATACCGCCCTACACATTTGCATGGCACCCGTCTCTTTGACGCTAAGGTCGGCACAAAACTAAATTATCATTTCAATTTGTATGTTTTTTTTATTTCTATCCAATTGAGACAACGTCGTTGGTGCTGACCTCCGAGAAGGGACTGACTCCTCTCTCTCTTCAAATCTGGTTATTTTATCAATTGATTTTGTAGCAAAATTGGTTTTCAAAATTATTTTCTATTTATTGGATGAAGTTTGAGATTGGGATGGAACTTTACCTTCGAGATGGGACAAATTCCCTCTCTCCTCAACCAGTCTATTCACACATCCTATTGATGTAGCATTGAATGTTATAGTGAAATTGACAAAGCAAGGTATCCTCTCCACTTATTTCAATCTATTTTCATTTTTATTGGATTTAGAGTTCAGAATGAAACCCTAGGAAGTGTTTGTTTCATAAGCGGGAGTATGTGTGAGACCGAAGGTGTGGGATGTTGGTGTCAATGAGACTAATGTCGACCCGCATCTATGCTAGCTCCATGCCAAGGGTCACCATTGGCCCTAACCTAGCGCCAAAACTTGGCACAAGGATCGTCGACGCCGAGCTTTGGGTTATGTCTAGAATAAATTTTATAGAGACATGCTTATAAATTTTAAAAGGATAAAATTGTTAAAAATGTGGCATCGTGGTTGGAGGACGACTTTACTGAGTGAAAGAATTATAAGCCATATACCACAGTCGATGCCACCAGGTAAGGCATCGGTACTGCAATATCTAGTTAAGCGAAGAAGTCTATCTCGATAGGGTGGCTTAAAGTGGGGTTCCAATGAAGCATCATAAACTTATACTAAACAATCGGGGCTAGCACCTTTGTCAGTGGTGTCGCCACCACCGGAGTAGGTACTTGCAGGAGGATGCATGGCCCTCTCGCGCCTAGAAGTTCCACGTATTGTAAGAACGACATACCCAATGCCCTAATCTCGTTCCAGTGAATCGCGTAGAGATGGTTGCACGCTAAGGGTGTGGCATGAGGACCAGATCATGTGACAAACCGGACAGTGGTAAAGCCTTCTGGTTAGGCACCATCTGTTGCTGTGAACTTTGTGCTATACAATTGTTGGAAGCATCCGTGGTAGCGGATGCCAGGAGCCAACTTAGGCCTTATTCGTTTTGAAGGATTCCTAAAGGAAATCTCAATTCCTTTGGAATAATCACTATTCATGCATTTGGTTTGTAGGATTCAAAGAAAAATTTTCCATAGGAACACTATGCCAATCCTCCAAAATGTACTAATTCCATAGGAATGAAAACATCCACTCTATCATCTTTTGTTTAACTCAGTGTAGTAAAAATTCCTGTGTTGCAATCCTTTGTTTTGCACATGCATTCCTACACTATTCCTACGTTTTTCCTGTTCCTGTGATTTGGAAATCCTGTGAACCGAATAAGCCCTTAGCTTTATGCCCAAGGGCTTTGGGTGATCGGACTGACCCTAGTTGGGGTTGTTTAAATAGATGGGATGTCAGCTTACCTGATCCTTGACAGCTTACCTGCATGTGCGATGCCAGCCATCAAGCTTCCAAAAGGAACGATTGAAGACTTAGATTGGATGAGAAGAGCATTTCTCTGGACAGGGGAGGATAGCTGCATTGGAGCCAGATGCTTAGTGGCCTAGGATTCAATCTGCATTCCAAAGCAATTTGGAGGCCTTGGTATCAAGGATGTTGGCCGACAGAACAATGCTCTGCTCGTTAAAAGGCTGCACCATCTTCACTCTTCAGACTTGCCTTGGTCTAAATGGATATGGGCGGAACATGCAAGTCCGAATCTCAACGAACAGAAACAGCTAGATCCTCACTGGGAATCAACGAAGCTTCTTCTCCCAGTCTTGCAGGATCTCACCTCAATTCAGATTGGCGATGGCCGACACACCTCCTTTTGGCATGATTGCTGGTGTGGAGAAGACGTTCTGGCATATAAGTTAAATCCTCTCTATACCCACTCCCCGAATAAACATGCATCGGTGTTCCAGGTTCTTGCTGAAGATTTGCGGAATCACTTCGTCCCGTGCCTCTCGTCTGTGGCAGAGGATCAGTTCCTCCAGCTTTGCACTCTCCTCCAAGGACACAT